GGAGATGGAAGAAGGGGAGATGGGGGAGGAAGAGGAGGAGGGAGAGTGGGGAGGGAATGAAGCGGAAAATGAAGGCCCCATGCAGCCGGAGGAGGAGGAGGAAGAAGAGGAGGGGGAGATTCGATGAAGGAAAGGTGGAGGGCGACTAAACGCATTTCTCAAGCGAATCAAAGCACGTAGAGTATTTCACACATCATCGCATAAATAAATAAGTCTTTGTTTTGGTCGGGCGCCGGAAACCATTAGATTTTGCCCAGATGTTTTCTGATCGCCTTCTCTCTTCGTTTTGTGCCGGTCAATGGATCGATTCTTGCTCTAGGCACCCATATTGGTCCATACACATCAAATTGTAGTTTTTCCCATCTCTTGTGCGTTTCATACCTTCACTCAATTAGTTGAATCGAAGATTCGCGTTCATGGTTGGTCTTGCTTACTTTTTATGGATCCCAATCGACAAAGAGAAGGTTCTAACCTCCCCGCCAACGTGCACAGCATGCACAGCCGTCGACAAAGGTGCCGTTCACAAACCATAATATTTGGTCGTATGAGCAGTACTTATCAGTCCCTGTATGCGCAAACCGACACTATGGAATTAAGAAGACCTTCTTTGCCTATTTTCCACCTGCATGGCAACGTCTTCGGTAGTTCTTTTGGGGGGCCACATTTTCGTCGCTTTTTTTTTCTTAGCGACAAGCCGATCGTGCCTTTCCCTCTATTTTTTTCTTCTTTGTCATCAAAAGACCGGCCGGCGCCCTTGATTAGGGCATCCGATGACCAGACAGGAATTGCCACACATGTAGGCTTGTGTCCCGATGGATTGAAACCCCCTTATGCTTGACAGTTTGCAGGAAATGGCGTAAGCAGGAGGGTTCTTCGCAGTGGTTGTAGCCTTTCTTCCCTATGCCGCTAGCCTCCTCCCTCTCTGACTATACTCACCACCTCCTCCTTTCTTTCTTTTGGTCTGGCGCACACCTCGTTGTGGTCCCGTACGTGCTTCCTCACCTCCATCAAGGTCATTTGAATTACGTATCCACGATGGACATTCGCAATTTTTTTAAAAAACCGCCGGGTGCGCAAACATCTCCTTCCCCAGCGAAGAAAGAGGTCTTGCCCCTCGCCTCACCGCCCTCCAAACAAGAAAAGAAAGAAGTCAGGAGCAGCAACCGCGGTGAGAGCCCTTCTCCCGCCTCCAAAAGAGCGACGGTCCAAAAATCGGGCGTCAGTAAGAAGAGGGGGCATCTGGAGGAGGAGGGAGTGGAGGAGGTAGTGGGACGGCCGACACCGAGTAAGAAACAAATTATGGAGGGGCCAGCAGGAAGCGCGACTGCGTACAACGGGAGCAAGAAGGGCAAAAAGAAGGGATTGGGCACGCGAAAGGAGGCGGTGGGCGCCGAGGGAGGGAAACAGGTAGAAGCCGTGGCGGGGAAGGGGAGGAAAGGG